TTAATTAATGAATGACACATTTATTTATTTAATTCCACATTTAATTAATTGTTGACACATTTAATTATTTATTTAATGCTGTATTTATTTATTTAATTTTGGCACTTTTTATCCTCCATAGGTTCTGACGAGCAGGATTGAAAAACCACTGATATAGACCAATGAGGGAACATACAGCAGGTGTACGTTGGTTTTCTGCAGCCTTCTGCTTTCATCTGGCTTCCTATTATAAACTCTGCTGTCACAATTTCTCTGGTTACATTTCTTATTTATATTGTTTTCCCAAGTGTGTTTGTTTCTACAGGCAAAGACCTTTCCATCTGGGCGTAGACTAAATCTACAAAAATAAGGTTGAAGCAATCTGTAGAACAGAACTTTGTCTTTGCTTCTGCCTTTACTTTATATTCTCTTTTTTTCCCTAAATTTTCCCTTTAGTTTTTCAGTCTTTAATATATTGAGTGGAGGTGGTGAAAATGTTTTAGTCTCTATGAAGGTAGATTTGTTTCTTATTATTCAATCAAAAAAAAAAAGGTTGCTTCAATCAAAAAATATAATTTCAATTAAAAAATATTCACTTCAATGAAAAAAAAAACTTTTCAATCAAAGAAAAAAAGTCTTTGAATGCAAAAATATATTTGAGACTCAAAAAAATACATTTGAACACTTGCTTTTCTTTGATTGAAAATGTTTTATTTGATAGAAGTGCAGTATTTTTATGTTTAAAGCAACTTTTTAAATTGAAGTAACATTGTTTTTTGATCATTTGTGTTTTTATTATTCAAACAAAAAAGTCACTTCAAACACACAAACAACAGAATCAATTAAAAAAGTAACTTCAATGAAAAGATAAACGTTTTCAGTCATAGAAAATTGTTTTTGATTATTCAATCCAAAAAACAAAGGTTGCTTCAATCCAAAAATATATTTTCAATCAAAGAAAAAAAGTATTTGAATGCAAAAATATATTTGAGACTAAAAAAATTGCATTTGAACACTTTTTTTTATTGTTGTAAATGTTCTCTTTGGTTGAAGGGATCTATTTAGTGTTTGGGCCTTACATGGGTAGGACATTTGTTTCTTAATCATTCAAATTCCCAAAAATCTACCTTCAGTCTCCATATAAGCATCATCAGTCTAAAATCTACTACAGTGTGTGTTTACCTGCAGAGAGGATAGAGATCACTCTGGACATCCTTTAATTGATAGAAATGTGTAACCATCCCAGCATCTACCAGCTGAATTATAAACCCCTAACCTCAGCTGAGCTTTAACTGTTTTATGTCTTTAAACCTCCATCCAACAGCGCGTCTGTCAGGAAGCTGGGAAACGCGCCCCAGACGTGTCAGCAGGTGCCGTAGTCCTACGCTGCTGTAACAGACGCAGTAATCGTCTGTTCTCTGCAGTCTGCGCTTCCTGAAAACATCACACTGGGTTATCACTGCCACTAAAAGCTCCCATTGCTACGAGCTTATACAGCAACAATCAGATATTCTAGTTCTTATTTCAGCCCTACGATGTGAATAAACCGCATTCTTTGTTAGAAATATGTACATTCTCACAACGTCCTTACTGTGAGTTCAGATCAGTACACAGGATGAACAGCAGAGCCACAGAAAGAGGCCTGCATGCTACTGATTGTCATTATTAAGACACCTATTGCAGTTTGCCCCAAAGTTTATAATAAAAATGAGAGAGGAATCCATAATAGCGGTAATTAAAACCTCACAAAGTCAAGTCCAGGGTTCAAACACCTTAGTTTACATCCAATTCAAAGACTTTTCAGGTCAAATTCTCTCAAATTATCACACAGAAACATTTACCTACTGCTAAATCTGAAACAGATATTAATAAATAACTTTAACACCACGGGTATTATTAAAAAAAATAAATAACTAGCAGTTGCTGGCTCAGATTTGATTAAATAAGTAGATTGAATAAACAGCCTGAACTCATACTGATAACATTCATAGTCTACATTTATATCAACAATGCATGGATACGTCTAGCAGAGGCGAGATGAGGCTTTGATGAAGCTCTTCAGCAAATCTATTACAAAACGCTTCATTTCTCAAAGCCTTATTTAAGGGCAGATTACACTTCTGCATCTGCACACATCAAATGTCGCTTGGGTCTGGTCGCGAACCAGTTTTGCTGGTATGCTTCTGCACCGTCGGTCTGAAATTTCTAGGGATCCACAGCAGTTTCCCACCAAAGTGCAAGGGGGAGCGTATTCAAGAACTTCGGCGGATGGTGAAGAGAATTTTGGTGTAACCGGCGGGAGTGTTTATCTTCCAAAACAACAATGGCACATCTGCAAGATATCACGGTCACAGAGATGGATCTAAAGTTGAGGAACAGGTTCTGTTAATGGAGTTGGCAAAAAGACCGATTAACCTTTCGTCCTAGTTGTCCATTGTCCCTCGGTTTTTAAAAATGGCGCACCCCGGCACCGAATGGAGAAGGACGACCACACAGACAGCCGGAAAGGCATACCAAGGACCAATCACAGCTGCTTTTTTATCTGCGTACTTCCGCTTGAGGTCTGCGCGGGTTTGCGACCGTCCAACGCATAGTCAGGAATTTTTTAAGGTGCGCAACGACGGTTACAGAACCTTTGCACGGGGGGCGTGGTCGCGCGCAGAGACAGATTTGACGGTTGCAGAGGCTATGCCGTCAGAAGCATAAACTGGCCTTTAGACTGCAAGAGGAAGGATAATAATATATCCATGATTAATTGAATCAAAAGATTTTATTCAAAAATTATTTTTGTAAATCTAATACAATAAAAATGCTGTTAGCTGATTATAAGGGC